GTGGCCGGGAGCGGCCACTGCACTCCAGTCTGGGCGACAGAGTAAGACTCCAACTCAAAAAAAAAAAAAAAGCCCTCAACTCAAAAGAAAAAGCAAAGCCCTCCCTTACCAGATGTTCCAGGACAGGGCCTTCCCCTCAGAACTCCTAGATTAGAACTTCCCCCTCATATCCTTCTGGGCAAGGTCTTCTGAGACCTTAGGACAAGGCTGTGCCTACTGATTCAGACGCCCAGATGTCAGCTTCCACTTACCTGGGACAGGAACCTCCCAGAGCTCCGGTGTGTGAGGCGGGCATAGGCCAGGACAGGCAGCGGATGTGGGTGCCCAATGAGGGCCACACGGAAGGCCTCCTCCAGGCGGTGTCGGACAAAGGTCTGATGGTAAGCAGGCGGCAGCCCGGGTGGGAGGTAGATACTGGGGAAGAGGGCACTGGAGGCAGCCCAGAGCCAATGCAGTTGGGTGTTGCGGGCAAGGGTAGCAGTGTGGCAGTGGCCTGTGTAGTTAGAAGCCATACTATGCCAGCCATTGCCACAGGCTGGGTAGCGGTAGAAGCCCCAGAGCCCATGGGGCCGCAGTGCCCGTCCCAGCTGCAGGGTGTCCTCCATCAGTGCACGGGCCGCCTGCTCAAAACCAGTATAGGCCTTGAAGAGCTGCTCCTGAGGGTCCAGGTCAGGGAATACCTTCTGTGCCCAAGCCCAGGAGGCTGCCTTATAGGCTCGGCGGCGGCCCCAGTTCCCGGTCCAGAGTGGACACCACTCCTCCCAGTCCAGCACTGCCAGACCAGAGAAGCTGGGTTCCAGGTTGTGATGGATCTTGTAGGCAGCCCATACCAGGTGGTGGTCAAGGGGCACAGCCTGGGGGATGCCCCCGTTGTGAGCTGTGCCCCTGGGCCCAAGGTAGGGGTAGAGGCCAAGCTGGTTCTTGTAGAAGATGGTGACATTCTGGCCATGGAAATGCTGGCCATGGTTGGCTATGATGCCCAGGGCATTGAGTGGCAGGTGCACTCCAAAGTGGGCCTCACAGCGTGCCGAGGGCACATTCCACAGCACAGAGAAGGGGTGTTCAGGTGCCTGCAGCAGAAGCTGGCCACACCCCAAGCTTAGGGCCACCCCCAGCACCAGGACTGGGCCTAGCTGTGTGATCATGCTCGAGGGATGGAAACCTGCGGGAGAGAGGGAGTATGAGCTTAGAGTCCATTGCCATAGCCACACCTTCCACACAGCAGGGAAAGCAGGGAAGCTCCCCAAGCTCCTCCCCATAAGGATGGGGAGTTGGGGAAAGCATAGTTGCCCAGGGGTGGGTCACTTAGGCCTCTTAGAGCAGCCACACCCCAAGCTTGCCTGGCCAGCTCCCCTACCGTGTTCTCCATTTCTGTCAAGGAACTACTGTGTCCTCTGACACCTCTCCACTCAGCTGTTACAAATCCTCTTCTCTTCTCCTGCCCATCTTGTTCCCTGCCCCAGGCCAGCTCCTGCCTCCTAGCTTAATTCCTACTCAACACTCAGGTTCCTGCTGTGACATCACCTTCCTGGGAGGTCTCCTGGATTCCCAGGTAGTGAGGGCACTTGGGCTCTTGAAGCCTCTGTACTTTCCCTGTCCCAACATGGATCTATCACTGTATGCCTGTTTGTCTAGCTGTCCCCTTACGTGGAGACCCTATCTATCTGTCTAGTGCCCTGCTGCCTATTCCCATCCAGGTCTTGACACATAGTTGGTGCTCAGTGAATGGTAATGAGTGGGTGAATGGAGAAAAGAACAGCCACCCTGTCTCCTGGGCTTGGCAGGGTAGGAAGGGCAAAGGACAGGTGTTCCTCTATCAGTGGCCCCAGAACCAAAGTAGATCTAGGGGCTTCTGCAGGGATGGGGGATCTGAGAGGTGAGGGTGGGGTCAAAAAATAAACTGTCACAGCCACACCCAACAAAAGCCTTTATTCAGCCACACTAATGACTCTGAGCCAGAGCTACAGAGCCACCTCCTGGCCCCACTGGAACCCAGGAAGTATGCCCAGGCTAAAGCTGCCCTCCCAGGCACTAGGGGCTGAGATATGGCCAGTGGGCTGATGGTGGTACTCTCTTGGGCAGCCTATTGACCCATAAAGATAGTCCCTTGCCCTAGGTGGTCCTCAGATGTCTTTCTCCATCCAGAATATAGGGCATCCTTTCATGTCTTGGTATTGTGTCTTCAGAAGGCTTTTTGCAGAGGGCCCTAAGAGAGTTGGCGGTGAGGTGGTCAAGGGCTCAGGCAGGGGAGGTGGTGGAGGTAATGGAGGCCCCTTGGGGCCCCTTGGGACAGCTTGGGCAGTCAGGCTTAAGGCCTTGCAGGGTGGCCTTGGAGAGGGGGCCCTGGAGAAGGCATTGAGCAGTGTGGCAGGCAGCCGTCGGCTGGTGAAAACGAGGCCCTGAACAGGTTCACCCAGGTGGTAGCCCAGGTGAGCATAAAAGTGCAGCTGGTCATGGGTGGTGAGGTGTAGCTTGTGGAAGCCCCGGGCCTGAGCAAAGGCCTCCAGGCCCTCCATGAGGCGGCGGCCAAAGCCACGGCCCCGCAGGGCCCGGGCCACCACCACTGTCTCCACTAAGAGGCTATGGGGTCGGTCCAGCACCCGTGAAAGGCGAGCATGGCCCACCACAATGGGTTCTGCTTCAGGTGTGGGGCGAGGGCTCAGCAGCATGAGGCAGAGGGGGAAGGCATCTGAAGACTGGCCCAAGGAGTGCAGGCGGGAGGCACGGCTGCGGGGCCACTGTTCATTGATGAGGTCAGCACAGGCATCCAGGAGCTCAGGTCGGCAGTGCACAGGCTCCAGGGTCAACTCAGTCAGGTTAGGGGCTGGGGTCTTCTCTGGTTGGTGTTCAAGATCCAGAGTATGCTCAGCTGGGCCAGGACTGAGGGTCATCTCTGGTTGGCATGTGGAATCCAAGGTCAGCTTGGCCAGCCTGGGATTCATGGTCAGCTCTCGTTGGTGTGCAGGATCCAGGTTTAGCTTGGTCAGGTTGGATCTCAGGGTCAACTCTGGCTGGCATGCAGGATCCAGAGTCAGCTCAGCTGGGCTGGTACTCAGGATCAACTCCATCCGGTGTGTAGGGTTCAGGGTAGGGGTCAGCTTGGCTGGGCCAGGGTTTAGAGTCAGCTCTTGCCTGCACATAGGATCCAGGCTCAGCCGAGTCAGACTGGGAGCCGAGGTCAACTCCTGCTAGGCTGCAGGTGGTGCAGTGTCAGGCTGGAGGTTAAGATCACAGTCACCAGACAGTGGCATCTCAGACCACAAGGGTTCTCCTCCTGCAGATAACAACCGTGCTGGGCTGTGCCAGGAAGGAAGATGGGGTTGGGGCAGGGAGAGACTGACAGAGTGCAAGCGAGGCCACACACACTGGAACTGGGTAGTGGTGGACTACACCTTGTCCCACACTCACCTGATGGCACAGGTAACCTGGAAGAGACCCATCCCCTATACCTGGTATGGGGAGAGCAGGGCAGATGGATCCAGTGTCCTGCTCCACATTGGAGGAAGGCTAAGGGTGGTAAACTGCTGAGGGCTGAGGCAGAACCCAGGAGTCCTGGCCCAGCCTGCTCTGGCTACAAAGTTGTCATCCCTAGAATCTCACTGTGCCAAGATATTCGACCCAGTCTATTTGTCTCCTGTAGTCCACCATCATGGCATCCGACAGAAGGTGTAAACCAGACGTGATACCTCATGCTTAAACCCACCCAAAGTTCTCTTCAGAGGTAACACTGCCCCCCAAGAGTTCCCCTGTCCCTTTAATCTCCCTATATTTCAGCTCTCTTCCAGCCCCCAACCTTTTTGTTTGTTTTTGAGTTGGAGTCTCACCCTATCGCCCAGGCTGGAGCGCAATGGCATGCTCATGACCACTGCAGCCTCGACCTTCAGGGCTCAGGCGATCCGCCTCAGCCTTCCTTGTAGCTGGAACTACAGGCGCAAGCCACCACACCCAGCTAATTTTTTGATTTATGGTGGAGAGGATGTCTTGCCAAATTGACCAGGCTGGTCTTGGAACCCTGGGGTCAGGCAATCCTCTCACCTCTGCCTTCCAAAATGCTGGGATTACAAGTATGAGCCACCACACCTGGCGAGCCCCCAGCCTTTTCAGCCACAGGAGCCATGCTCACTGCCTAACAGATCCTGGGGCCCCTCTCACCCAATCATCAGGCTCAACTTTTACCTCCCATGACTGCCTTCCTTGCCTGGGACACATAGCCTATGCCCCCTCCCCAACTCTGCTCAGCTCAGAAACTTTGAGTATGGAACCAACTATCCCCTCAAACGGGGCCCCACGAGCACCAGCACTGGGCCTGGCATACAGCAGTCATTGCCTCTGCAGGTCTAGTTCCCCCACTGGCCTGAGTTTCACAGTCACCCTAGATAAAGACCACAGCTTCCTTCCTATATCCACAGGAGTATTCAACGGTCACCAGGTTGGGGGTCCAGACCTTCTTTACCCAAACGCCACTGTTTGCCCACCTTAACCAAGGTTCTGCTGGCAAGAGGGTCTATGCTGGGGGATTTCTTGGGGTGGGCAGGCAGCTGAGCCCCACCCCTCTACTCACCAGCTCCAGAGAGGGTCTCCTTGCTCCCCTCCCCATCTCCCCTCTGCTTGAGGCCAATTCAACACTGGTCAGTGACAGGCAGCCCCCTACCCTCACACCACATCCCACACATTGGGCTATAAGCCCCTCACCTGCATCAGCCACCTCTGCATCAGCGGCACCTTCTGGTCTAAAGGGAAAACGCCCCAAGATCCGCCCCTAGGCCTAGGGCCCCCAGGCTTCCCGGCGGGCTTAACCCCTTCAGTGCCGACCCTACCCACTGTGGGCGGGGCGAGGCTCTGGGGTCCTCAGAGAGGGGCTGTACCGTCTCTCCTATGCCGCGGTTTCTCCCTTCCTCCTCGTTGGTCACAGGCCGTGTAGCTTTTGGGGATGGGAGCTTCGAGAGCCTAACTATGAGCATGCTTTGGGAGGGAACGAGCCGATCGCCTCAGGGAGGGCAAGCGGGGCGGCATGGCCACTTGGAGACCGCAAACGCAGGGAGAACGTACAGGCAGCAAGTGAGGAGGGGGCGGTACTGACATGCTGATGCTGGCCTCCGGGATGTCCTGCGTCCTCGCTCCGCACCGCTCGGTACCTCGCTCTGTCTCTGACTGGGACTCCTTGGTCCGCGCGCGCTGGTCCCCAGCGGTGCGGCGGACGCACTGCTGCCCGCCGGGCCCCAGCGCGTCACCACTTAGGCCCCGCCCCTGGTTCTAGCGTCACAACGCTGACCAGGCGCAGTCTCGGTCCCTGCTCTGGCTCCGCCTCTGTCCCTCCGCCCCTGCAGAGTCGGCTTCTCATCTCCAGTTGGCTCCGCCTTCTCGCGGCCCGGCCCCGTCCAGGCCGCGCCTCTGGCTCCTGCGTCACCGCTTAGGTCCCGCCCTAATTCGTCTCTAAAGGATCACAGCTTCAGCCAAGCGCAGGCCTCTCCTCCAGCGAGCTCCGCCTCCGCCTGGCCTCGCCCCAGTCTCAGACAGGTCCTGTTTCAGCTCCCGCCCCTCCCCCCCATTGGGCCCCACCCTGGAAAGCAGCCGCCCTCAGACAGACGTCAGACCTGGGTAAGAGAGAGACAGACCTTTCCTGTGCCCTCTGGATACTAGGGCCTGAATATTTTTTAGGCGCTCAATAAACAGCTAAGTAAATAAGTCATGACTGCTTTATTTGTAGGGCTGGTGTCTCAACAGGTTCCGGGATCTTGCAGGGCTGGTTACCATCAACAAAGTAGAAAAACAAGGGCTCTCTATCTCTGGAGCCAGACAGCCTGGGTTTGAATTTCAGCTTCTCTCTTTTATTACTGTGCGACCTCTGCAAAGTGCTTACCCTCTCTGAGAGTGCCTCAGTTTCCATATAGCCTCATTGTGAGGATTGAGTAGGTTAAACTCATTAAAGCCACTTAAACTGCTTAGTACAGGGCTTGGCAAAGAGTAAATGCTCAGTGAATGTAGCTTTTGTGATTGCTGCAGTTCAAAGGCTGGCTCGGTGTCTCTGGAGAAATTGTCTATGATGCTGCCAAGTAGATACACATGGACATTGAGTTGAGGGTGTCTGCAGTGGTTCTAACTCCTTATGTGACTATTCTTGTCTGTCGGCTTGCATGTATGTGCAGGGCATATGCCCATCATGATGGCTGAGTGTATTCCTGATGGCGACCATGACTTGTATGACATGCCTGTATTTGAGAAAGCTGTGGCCCAGCCCAGAGTACACTAGGTGCTCAATGTGCACAACCTGGTGAGTGGCCAATCACCACATGCTTTTCTGCTCACACTGTGCTCCCTGCCAGCCAGGGTAGCAGCGACATTTGAACTCCACGGCCATCTGCACCCGATCTTCAGGTGAGAGGGCACCTTTCAGAGTCAAGGGCCCACCACCAGGTGTGAGCTGGATGGAGAAACTGGCAGGGTTGAGGATGAGAAGGGCCTCGGGGTGGCTGGAGCGGCGGACACATCGGCCATGGCCAGAGCACAGGGCTTGACTGCAGAGAAGAGCCCCACTGGTCATGTTCAGGATGAAGGGCCCCAGTGCAGTGTCCACATATTCTTTGATAGCCTGGCATGATTCCTGAGTGGGAGGGGGTGCATCAGGGACACCACAGCCATGCATGGGCTCACCTAGGGTATTGAGGCATTCACCTTCTGGCAAGGATTTCAGGGGTAGAAAGGGTAAGCCAGGGTCTCCCCAGTCAGTTGGATGGTCCCACGCCTGCTCCACCCCCACTCTCACCTCCACTCCCATCCCAGGCCTGAGCTCACCTTGGTTCTTGTACTTTCCCAGCTCACCCAGAGCACCACTCCTGCTGCACCCTGGGCCATACTCTCTCCCAGGGTGTGCTCCAGCTCGTCCTGGGAAGGAAAGAGACAGTACAGTTTTGTGGCGCCTTCCTCCTTGTGGCAGATTGCTGTACACCAGTGGATGGGATAAATAATTTGTAATATTCCCTTGGGGCTGCTCTGGCCCTGTTGGCCAGAGGCAAGCCTGTCCCTCCTTAGCCTATGAAATGCCGTGCAGACTGGGACTCTACCTTACTAATAAATGCTAAATTGCCTGTGTCAAGCACAAAACTTGGCACAAAATAGACAATGAATGTGAGAATGGATGGATGAAAATGTCCCAAGACTAAAGTGCCCTCAGGCTGTGTGGTCTCACTTGCTGTACCTAATACTTGTTAGGGCAGGCTGACAAGGTGAGTAGGTTACAGAAAACTTACCAGTGGAAGAAAGTGGTCTGTCATGTCATAGAAGATTTGGGCATAGGGCAGCACCAGCAGATTGGGGTCCCTGGCAGCCGCAGCCACACGGAATGCCTCACCCACACGGTGTCGCACATACATCCATGCTTTCCCTGTGTGCTCCAGTGCTGCAGGCACATAGATGCTGGGGTAGAGGGCACGGCTCTGGTCCCACAGCCACCCTAGCTTGTCGTTCTGGGCACGAATGTCTGGGGTGCACTGGCCTGTGTAGTTGGGGCTTAGAAAGTCATAGTTGTAGCAGTTAGGGAAGCCATAGAAGCCCCAGAGGCCGCGAGGGCGCAGTGCCCGCCCCAGCTGGAGGGTTCCTGCCATCCAGGCACGTGCAGCCCTCTGGAACTGGTCCTGGGCTGCTGCCTCCACCCAAGGAGCTGGCCAGTCAGGGTGCTGTGCCTGTACCAGGGCCCGTGAACGCTGCCGGTAAATGTCTTTGGTGTCCCAGTTGAAGGCCCAGCGTGGGCGCCATGCCTCCCAGTCAATGACCACCAGCCCTGAGAAGTCAGGTGCAGGCATGGCAGCCAGGATGTCCTGGAATGTGCGGGCCAGGTGGGCACCCAGGCTGGCATTCTGGGGCAGACCACCAAACACAGGATCCCCAGCAGGCGTGTAGTAGGGGTAGGTCCCCAGCTGGGAGCTGTAGAAAATTGTCATGTCAGGGCCGCGAAAGGTCTGCCCTGGGTTTACCACCACATTGAAGACACTGACATCCACATCCACACCGTGTCTCTCCAGGCACCACTGAGTGTTTGCATTCCAGACGGTGATGAAGGGCTGGTTGGGTGCCAAGGGGTCCCTGGAGCCTTGGACCATGTCCAGTAAGATCAGGAAGAGGATGCAGATGTGAAGCAGGTGGGCTGCCATGGCACGGGATGGGTTTAGGGCAACCTGGCCGGGGGAGGGAGAACTGAGAGCAGGCTGCAAACTCTGACCCCTACTCAGGGCAGATGGGCCAAGCTCCTTGGTCATTACTCCACCTCCGCTCTGGTTGTTGTTAAACATTGACCTGCAGGGCACAGGGAGGGCAGAGGGCAAAGGAGATGTATAGAGGGGGCAAGGCCCCTGGAGGACACATCTGAGTTGCCTCTCAGGCCCAGCCTCCTACAAGCCTTTCCCTGGCCTAAGCTTGTCCACCTCCCTTCCCCCAAGGGCTGCTGAAGCCATGACATCTGTTCTGGGAGAGTGTCTGAGAGCCAGGTCCTCAACCCCAAGGTTGACCTAACTGATGGGGAGGGAGGCTATCCTGTCTCTTCCACTAGAAATCCTGGGCAGCCATTGGAAAAAGTGACACTCAGCAACAAGAGAAGGTCAGCCCAGCCCTCCTATACACCCACTTGCCCACTTGTCCCTGCTGACCTCAGGGATGAAGGGCTTCATCTCCAAGCTTCCTGACCCCAGGATAGGGGCCTAAGGAGGGCCTGGCCAGATTCCGTTCCTCAACACTGCCCCAGATGCACCAGAGACTCTTAGAAGAAGACTGCTGCTGGAAACTCTGAGCTTTTGTAGGGGATTACCCAACCCAGTCCAGGGGCGGGCCAAGGGGCGGGCCCTGGATTGGGAGGCCAGGCCAAATTGCAGCGCTACCTCTGAATTCCTGGTAAAGAGACCTTGGTGAGGGGTGAGGCCTGGCCAGCAATGGCCCTTCCCACTCTCCCAGCACTAGGGCAGGGCTTTGTGGCTTTAATGGAACTGAAAGGGTTGGGCAGCAGCAGGTCTGGCTGCTCAGGCCTGTTTGTACTGGAGTCTGGGTGCCTCAGGACTTTCCCCACGTGGCTTCATTATGACACTGGAGGCCCTACAGGTACTTTTGCCTTCATGGATGCTTTCCTCCTTGAAAAAATAATTAAAAAAAAAATAGAAGTCTCACTCTGTTGGCCAGGCTGGAGTGCAGTGGCATGCTCACAGCCACTGCAGCCTCTACCTGCTAGGCTCAGGTGATTCTTCCACCTCAGCCTTCCAAGTAGCTGGGACTACAGGTATGCACCACCACGCCTGGCTAATTTTTTGATTTATTGTCGAGATGAGGGCTTGCCAAGTTGCTCAGGCAATCCTCTTACCTCGACCTCCCAAAGTGCTAGGATTATAGGTGTGAGCCACTGCGTCTGGCCAAAACAAATTTTAATTATACCTTACAACCATGTTGGTATAAAGATGAACATAATCCAAGTTGGGTGCAGTGACTCATACCTATAATCCCAGCACTTTAGGAGGCTGAGGTAAGAGGATTGCCTGAGCTCACAGGTTCGAGACCAGCCTGGGCAACTTGGTGAACCCTCATCTCTACAATAAATCAAAACTATTAGCCGGGCATGGTGGCATGTACCTGTAGTCCCAGCTACTTGGAAGGCTGAGGCGGAAGGATCGCCGGAGCCCGCGGGTCGAGGCTGCGGTGGCCAGGAGCGGCCACTGCACTCCATTCTGGGTGACAGAGTGAGACTCTAACACACACACACACACACACACAAATTAAAACATCCTTGTGTACCCCAAAATATTGTGTCCCTAGGTCCTGTGCCTATTGTGCTTAGGGGTATATCTCTGCTTTAGGGACCTGTTTCTGAAAGGCACTGTGTTCATGAAATTGGGATTGTGTTATCACCCTTTGAATATGTGCTGGGTCAGTGATTGTGTCTTTGTAAAGCCACAGTTAGTGACCATCTGGGCCGCTGCACAAACTCCAGTGCCAGCACATGTGAGTGCAGAACCCAGTGCCTGGGACAGGGACTGTGTGAGACCCTGCTGTCTTGTGAGCATGAGACCTCAGGTTTGTGTGACTATGGATAATATGAGCATGCATCTATCAGTGAGCACATGGCTTGCTCATTCATTTCTGGTTTCACTTGTTTGCTGATTCAGAAGCTGGTCATTGAGACCTAGGTGCTCAGGTCCAGGCTTGCCTGCCTGGGTGGAGCAAAGGAAACACCATGTCCCTACAATTGCTGCCTGGATCTGCAGCCGTCTGAGCCTGAGTCACTGAAGCCAGGTCACCCCTCGTTTGATGGTCCCTGGAGTAATGACACAATTGACTACCAATTGGGTTCTCCAGGCTGGCTGGGATGGAGAAACTAGCAGGGCCAAGGAAGATCCAGGGTACTAGGGGCTGTGGGCACATTAGCATGAGATCCATGCACCAGATCAAGCCCCAGAGGTGGTGGCTTGATTCTGTTCAGGAAGCAGGGTCCCAGAATGATGAGCATGCAGGGCCAGAAAACCTGACACAACTTGATGTTCTGCTGAGGTAGAACATCAAGGCAGCCCCTGACCCTTCTCTTCGAAGATCCATGCCATCTCCTGGTACCCCAGAAACCTAGAGCTGCAGCTGGTGCAAACCACAACATTCTCCAGCTGGCCTCAGTTCAAGGGAAAAGTTCTGATGGAGGACAGCAGGAAGAAGCTGAGGGTACCTGAAGCCCTCCCCTACCCTAGGGCCTTGTCTACAGGCCTGCTCCTGTTGGGCTGGTCAGGTGGAACTGGTACGAATGGGGTGTGTGGATGGGGTTGGTCCAGCATGATGTTTCATCCCTTCCTGCTTGCTCTGGCTGTGCATACCTCAGGCTTCTGAATCACCCACTCCCCATTAATTTCCCACTACTCCTCAACCCCCTTCCCCACAGGAGAGTTTTGGCTGTCCCTGAGCTACACTTTCCCTAGGGTTGTTCTCCAGGTCCTCCTGGGGAAGTAATGTGAGATAAATGCAGACTTGTATGGATGGATCACAGCTGAATCAGTATAGGTCACAGCTGTATGGGAGAGGTCAATTTGGAAGGAGTCACAGACGTTTGGAGAAGGTAACAGCTATGTGGGTCTGGATCACCTGTGTGTAGGGGGGTTATAGGTGGGTTGGGTAGCTCACAGATGTGTATGGGTCACTTCTGTGTGGAAGAGGTCATAAGTGTGGAAGTCACAGGTATGGGGGACAGTCACAACTTCCTTGCTCTCCTTCTGCTGAGCTCCACCATCTCTTGGTCTTACTGACCAATACCTGAATCCTCTCTAGCCTGGCCTCTTCCTACCATGGCCATGAATGAGCACCTGGGCCCCCTCCGATTCCATGTCCACCTCCTCCTTCACAGTGTCAATTTACTATATCACCCTCCCAGCGCTGTCACCCTGCCCTCTCCTCTTCATTCTCTAACCATCAACAGCTAGAGAGACAAGGGGGAGACCTCTGGAAAGCCTAAGTTGTCCTGTTTTTTTTTTTTTTTTTTTTTTTGTGAGTTGGAGTTTCACTCTCTTGCCCAGACTGGAGTGCAGTGGCATGCTCCTGGTCACCACAGCCTTGACCTGCTGGGCTCCGGCGATCCATCCACCTCAGCCTTCCAAGTAGCTGGAACTATAGGCACGTGCTACCACGCCCAGCTAATTTTTGATGTATTGTAGAGACGAGGTCTCGGCAAGTTGCCTGGGCAGGTCTCGAACCCATGGGCTCAGGCAATCCACTTGCCTCGACCTCCCAAAGTCCTGGGATTACAGGCTGAGTCACTGAGCCTGGCCAAGCCTGAGGTGTCAAGGGTTTGGCCAAGCCCGTCTCTCCAAGCTCTGCTTCCCTTGTCATACTGTTCCCTCACCTGCATGAATTGCTGGGGTGCACTCTCTCCTGCCTGGCACCTGACTTGATCTTTGCATCTATTTTTTTTTTTTTTTAAGTTGGAGTCTCTGTCGGCCAGGCTGGAGTGCAGTGGCATGTTCATGGTACTTCCAGCCTCGACCCACTGGGCTCAGGTGATCCTTCTGCCTCAGCTTTCCAAGTAGCTAGAACTACAGGCATGCTTCACCATACCTGGCTAATTTTTTTGATTTATTGTAGAGATGTGGTCTCGCCATGTTGCCCAGGCTGGTCTTGAACCTGTAGGCTGAGGCAATCCTCTCATCTCAGCCTCCCAAAGTGCTGGGATTACAGACATGAGCCACACTTACCTGGCTTGTCTTTATGTCTAGTGTGCATCTCCCTCTACTCTGTCATCCCCCAAAAGATGGGGGTCTTTGTTGGTGTGGTTCACAGATGCATCCCCAGCACCCAGTCCAGCACTGGCATATGTGTGTGCTGTGTGTTTACTGAACGGGGGAGGCAATCACTGCCATCAGGGAAGTCAGGCCTGGTGCTGTTCTAGGGCTGCCCCTCCTGCTTCTGCCTGCAGCAGCCCAGAGCCATACGCCAGCACTGAACTCTGCGGATTCAGTGTTCCATCTTCATCCAGCCTTTGCCCGGGCTTTGTTCCCAAGCATCAAGCTATTCCCCTCACCTTTTTTTTTTGAGTTGGAGTCTCACTCTGTGGCCCAGACTGGAGTGCAGTGGCACGCTCCCGGCCCACTGCAGCCTCGACCTGCTGGGCTCCTGTGATCCTTCCACCTCCGCCTTCCAAGTAGCTGGAACTACAGGCATGCACTAACCCACCCGGTTAATTTTTTTGTTTTTTTTTGAGTTTGAGTCTCACTCTGTGGCCCAGACTGGAGGGCAGTGGCCGCTCCTGGCCACCACAGCCTCGACCTGCTGGGCTCCGGCGATCCTTCTGCCTCAGCCTTCCAAGTAGCCGGGATTACAGGCATGCGCTACCACGCCCGGCTGATTTTTTTGATTTATTATAGAGCTGAGGTCTCGCTGCCCAGGCGGGTCTTGAACCCGCGGGCTCAGGCAATCCACTCACCTCAGCCTCCCAAAGGTGCGGGATTACAGGCTGAGCCACTGAGCCCGGCTTTTTCTTCTGTTTTTTAAAGACTGGATGACACACTGAGCCTCCTCACCTTTCTAAATTCACCGTAGAAAGCACCTCCTCAAGGATACCTCTCCTGAGCTCCTGTTGTTGGCAGCCCTCACTACTCAGTTGTTTCTTGAGCCTGTCTCCCCAGAGCCAGAGTTTCCTGAAGGCAGGGTTGTATCCCAGGTGTGGGCCTGGTGACTGGGGGGAGGGGCAGACTTAACTCCTGTCAGAGGCAGGGGTAGGGAAGGTCTGACTACTCCAGCTGCTACTTCTCTCCTCAGGGAGAAGCAGAGACTAGCCATGTTCTCCCATGGCCAGGACAGAGCTGACCTTTGAGGATGTTTCTGCTCCCAGGGTCAGGATGTCTTCCCCAGCCCCAGCATGCATCTTCATAGT